CAAACAAAGGCCGGCGCCCGCGGGGGCTCCGCGCGCCGCCCTCATTGGCGGGTTGGCGGCGGTGGTGGGCGGGGCGAAGATCCGGCTGGCCCCGCCCTCCGCGCCGCGCCAGTTGCCTTAATAGGGGCGGGGTGGAGCGCGCCCATTCATGCGGGCCGGCCGGGGGCGCGGCCTGCTCGAGCCGTTCCCGCTGGCGCGCTGCAGGCAGGTGGGTGCGGGCTGCGCGGGGCGCCCACGCGTGTGGTGCGGGGCGGCGGGGCCGCATCCTCGTGCGTGTGAGGTGACACCGGAGGGTCTGTGCTCGCGCGGGACGGACGAGCGAGGCGCGCGTCGTGCGTGTCCCGCGCGTGTCCGTGTGATCCCCGCAGGCCCACGCCGTGCTCGCAGCTGCCCCGGGGGTGCGGGTAGGACGCTGCTCTGTGTCTGGCGCAAACTCGTGTCGTCCCGCCGGCTCTCGATCACCCCCGCGCGCGCCCTGCGCCAGGCCCGGTGCTGGCACCCTCGTGGGTCTGTCCCTTCTCGGCCCAAATCTGCGATATCTGCAGTACGGAGCTCCCCGTCCGCGGTGTCCCTCGTTTCCTGTGATGGAAGGGAACCTGAGGGTCCACCAAGGACATCTCCCATCCTCCCTATGTTTCCCCCTGGGAAGGTTTGTGCTTTGTACCTACTCTGCTCCTCTGGGCTGAATGCCTGCACAGACAGAACCCTCTTCTCCATTTCCTAATAGCAACCATAAATTTATTCTTGCTTCCAACCTGCCAGGTCCCCACATGACACACGGTGTCCTCCAGCCCGCGACGCAACGATGGATTGAACTTTAGTCTCCGAGCAATTAAGGTGACCTGAAACTGCACTTCATTAATGGTTGTTATGCAATAAAAACGATAAAACTGCCCTTATTTGCAATATAAAAAAGCAATTTGTTTTAATTTATGTTTTAAAATACTTGCTGGGTTCTTCCCAGGCTCTGCCAGGCTTTGACCTTTGCGGTGGGAGGAGTGGAGTGGGTTGCTTTGTTGGGACAGGATTAGGGTTAGGGTGTCCCTGTGTGTCCCCCCCTCTGGGCTGCAGCCTTGAACGGCCTCAGTGCACCAGCTCTGCCAATTGCAAACCCGCTGCTTGCTCTCTCCTGCTGCTCTGCTCAGCGAGGTGCAGACACACGTGAGCACACACGCATGTGTGAGCGTGCTTCCCCCACTGAGCAGCACAGGACAAAAGCTCTGCCCCAGCGCAGCAGCGTGAGACCCTCGTGGGGATTGGATGCATTTTCATAAAACAGAGATCTTGAGCTGCCCTTCAGCCACCTTTTCTAATTACGATTAATTGCAGCTGCCTGCAGCCCCTCAGGACCTTGCTTATTCTCCTGGGCTCCCCACACCGGAGCAGGAGGGATTGGGGCTGGGGGCAGCTCTGAGCTGGGGGTCCCAGCAGACCCCGTGTGGGGATGCAGCTGAGGGCGTACTGTAGGGCTGCTTGGAGGAGCCCGAGCTGTGCAGCACAGGGCTGGAGGTGGTGCACCACCCTACTGTCTCTCTGCTGGAGGCTGCTTTTGGCTCCCCCTGCTTTCCTTGCAGCGCTGGGGCCGTGTTGTTCGGTAGCGGGGTGCTGATGGGTTGCAGGTGAGCATCTGCACATGGTTTGCATTGCAGAGAGGTTGGGGACACAGCAATTGGAAACACATTGCCCTGTGGGACTGCCCTGCATGCAGGCAGCCAGGGATGAATTCTGCAGTCTTGTGTCAGACTGGCTGCAGCAGCAATACCTACCTGATTTCCTCTTTTTAATGGGGAGAAAAAATGGAGTTTAATTCATCACTTGGGCTTTAAAAATTGCCTGAGGAGGGTTTGCTTTTGAAAGCAAAAAAAAATCGATAGTGGGAAGAAAAGAGAAACAGGGAAATGGGCAGCAGTGGTGAAAGCAGATGGATGCCAAATCCCCCCTGGGCTGGAGACAGTGGTAGGGAAGTTGGTATCACAGTCAGGGCATCACCAGAGGGGTTGGGGCCTCCAGAAGTTGAGCTTTGGCAGGGTGCTGCACTACCCATCCTGAGGCTGCACGTCCCACAGTGCGGTGTTGCAGTGCTCGCTGGGCTCCTGGTGGCCTTTCAGCATGTGGGGAAGCCACCTGAGCCCTTTTTTCTGCCAGTGTTGAGTTAGGGGCCATGTAAAACTAATTGGATAAACATGATTTCCCCTCTAACTCAGTGCAGATGTCCTGGTGCAGCAGTGAGGTGCTCTCCCTTCCCAGCCAGATGGGCAGCTGTGTCCCAGGTTCTGTGCCTGCTTGGGTAGGAGACATCCAGCCCCACAGCTGGGGACAACTGGGGAGGGGAACCCCCAGCCCTGGAGTTGTGGCAGTGCTTCTGCTGCTGCAGAGAGTGTGGGGGGCTGAGAGGAGGTCACAGTGGAAAATGTCCCATGTCCAGATACAGCATTCCGTATCTGGGTGCCATGCACCAGGCCTGGGTAGTGCATCCTATATCCTGGTGCTACGTCCTGTGTCCAGGTGCTGCATCCAGTATCTGGGCATGACATCCTATATGGTACCCTGTCCCATGTCTGAGTACAACGTTCCATATCTGGGTATGACGTCCTGTACCAGTGTTCCATGTCCCATATCTGGGTACTATATCCCATTCCCAGGTGCTGCGGCCCCTCCAGCTCTTGCCCTGTGCTACTGGTTCCAATTCTCACACCTGGGCACTGCTGTCTTCCCCATGCCATCCTCCCTCTGTGACCAGTACCATCACCATTCCCATCTGTGTGCTCTGTCCACACAGGTCCATTCCAGCTGGGCAACCTTAAGCCAGAACAGGGGGGTTGGGATGAAAAGAGGGGCAGCCCTCATTGCTGCTGGGGCCACGTCTCTCATGGGGTTTTTGATGTCAGAGCACCACAAAGCAGTCAGTGCTGCCTCCTCAACCCCGGCAGCACCTGGAGGGAATTAGGCAGGCATGCTCCACCTCCCTGCAAACCTTTTGTAGAGCAAATTCTTGTGGTTACCCATTGCAATTGCTGCAAATTATACAAGCGCTGTGGATTTTGTTCCAATGGGAACATGCAGTTGGCTTGCACCGCTCCGACCCGCCACCATGCCTGCAGAGCGAGTCAGCCTGTGGGTGGTGGGCATCCCTTTATTCCTTCCCCTTTTTTAAGGGTTGATCCCTTGCAAAGCCTCCGCACCCTCATTGGGAAGCACTGCACAAGGGCTTTGATCCACCCATGCCTGAGCACCATCTGCACCGCACACACATGCACACAACAGCCAGATGCACGCCCACATGTGCACGCATGAACCCATGAGCAGAGCAGGAGCTGAGCCCAGAGAGATTGCTTGGATTGAATGTGCACGCATGTGCGCATGCACGTATATGTATGTGTGTGTGTGTCACACGTGTGCCTGGGTGTACACGCATGTACTTAAACGCTCATGCATATGCATGCATTCATTGCTTATATGTGCCTTTGCATGCGTGTGTATGTGCATCGATATACATGTGCGTGCATGCACGTGCATGACTATAAACGCATTTTCCTGACTCTTGGATGCTGGGCCCGAAGAGGTCATCCCGTTTCCGCCTCTGCCAGCAGCCCTAAAACAAAACTTCCCCGCCCTCTCCCTCCCCTCAGTCCTCCCGGAGCAGTGTGCGCGGTCCTCCAAGACGGTAAGAGCGCCGCCGCAGGCCGCTCCATCCCTCCCGTCTCGCTGCCCGCCGCCCCACTTCCCGGAAGCGCCAGCGGAGCAACGGAAGGCGGAAGTGCCGCTGTGGCCGGTGCCGGTGCCGCCATGGCGGGTGGCTGAGGGGACCCGCGGGGCGGGGCGGGGTGGAGGGGCGGCTCCGGGCCGGGCCCTGCGGGGCGGCCCCGCCGCGGGCAATGGCGGCGGCCGCGGGCTCCAACTGGGGCCTGATCATGAACGTGGTGAACAGCATCGTGGGCGTCAGCGTGCTCACAGTGCCCTTCTGCTTCCGCCAGGTGAGCCGTGCCGCGCCGTGCCTGGCTCACGGCCATCCTCGGTAGGGCGGGGGCAGCCCGGGGGCAGCCGCTGGGGGGTCCCGGAGCCACGGGAAGGGGCCGGGAGCGGCGGGGTGGCGGTGTGAGGGCAGGAGCTGGCTGCGTCCAGAGCCTTATTCTGTGCCACGGGGCCCCCAGCTCTGTGCTGTGCGGCCTTCCCGCAGTCGTTCTCACCGTTACTAGAGCTGAAGAGAAGCGCTGAGCACCGTGCCCGTGTGTGAGTCCTGCGGGTGCCGAGCCACCTGCCTTGGCCTTGCAGCCGCACCTGGTTCGGCCCCAGCACAACGAGTGTCTGGTGTTAGGGGCTCCTGCTGCTGCTTTTGCTCCTTTAAAGTCACCTGCTTGAAAAGCAGCCTGCGTGTGACATCTACCTCTGCACACCTGTCCTGCAGTGCAGGGCGGCTCGATAATGTCTGTGTGCTGTTAGGTAGTGCTTATTCAATAAGTGTGTGGGTAAGGGTTTGGATCTCGTGCTTAGGTGTGGCTCTGTTGTTTACATGAACGTAATGAGGGCTGCAGAGCCCTGGGGATGCGCTGGTCTCATGGCGTGAGTCATAGAATCATTCAGGTTGGTAGAGATCTCTGAGATCATCAAATCCAACTGTGCTTCACAAATGCCTCCAGTTCACCCCTCCATGCTAGCACAGCTGTGTGGTCCTCAGGCTGCAGGAAGAGTTAAATTGAGCTCATACATCATGTTTGTCCTGGCTGCAGGGGAGCTGGAGAACTCCCTGAGCAGGTGAAAATGTGGCTGAAGATGCACGGGGGAGGCTGGAGGCAGCAAGGCGTGGGAGTGAGACTGCCCAAAGTGCCTGACTTTCCATCTTGCGCTTGTCTTCTTTCCCTCTCCTCTTCCTTTGCAGTGTGGCATTGTCCTGGGAGCTCTGCTCTTGATTTTCTGTTCTTGGATGACTCATCAATCCTGCATGTTCCTGGTGAAATCGGCCAATCTCAGCAAGCGCAGGACCTACCCCGGCCTGGGTGAGAATTTCCAGCTCCAGGGCTTGCTTATTTTAACTGTGGTTTTACTTTGACCTCTTAATTTACAACTTTTTCACTGATATTGTTGGAAAACCAAATGATTTCTTGATGTAGTTTTCAATTTGTGTTTTGTTCTTCTGTCAGGCTCTTCCCCCGTGCCTTGTCCCCGGGGGGATACGAGGGCTTAATTCTGTTCTTGACAGGGAAGTTAATAGGCACAGAATTGTTTTGACTCTGCAGGGCAGGGGAGGAGATGCAGTGCTGACTGATCAAAACCCAAGTTTTCGGGAGCTGGCCTGGTGGGTGTCTGGTGTAAATTATTGGTCTCAGCATGAAAGCCACGAGCTTCCCCACCCAGCATGCTGCCGAGGACATTGGGTTCTGCCAGCAGAGCCTGGCATGGAGCTCGGGCTGCCTGGGTCTGAGCCGTGTGTGCATTTATGGCAGAGCAGGGGGAGCAGAGAGGAAACAGCATTGAAAGTTCCAAGTGGCCAAGAAAATAAAAACATCTGCAAGATTCATGTGTGAGGTTTTGGCAGCGTCTGCCAGCCTCTGCGCGGTGCCAGTGCTGGCCTCTGCTGTGACCTCTCTGCTCTTCTGACTGAGTTGGGGAGCAGGAGGAGGTGGTCGGGTTCCCGTGCTCTCAGCTGGCATGTGAAACAACGTGGTTGTTTGCTTGGTTTCTCTTGTTTGGGTGAGTGGAGAGTTGGCTGGCATCGCTTTTGGTAAAAGAGTTAAAGAACTGCATGGCTCGCTTGGTCACTGCGTTGTTGACAGATGGATTTCCACCATGCTCAGGATACCCGAGGTCCTGTTACCACGCTTTGCATCTTTATCCTTTGCTACAAGCTTAAAAAATAATAATAATAATAATTAAAAGATTGTTGTGGTTTTAGCAGCCGTGCCCCTGCCCTGGAAGCAAGGCTGGATTAGTGCAGAGCCCTCAGGTGGCGCCGCCTCGGCCCAGCCCCTCCTCTCCCAGCTGCCTGCGCTGCTGCTCCCTGCTCTGACAAGGAGCCTTTGTTGCTGCTTCCCTCTCACCCGAGTACAGAGAGTCCCCTCCACCTTGGAGCATCTCCCAGGAAGAAGGGGTCCTCCGTGCTTCCCGCAGCCAAGGGGCTCGAATACACAGAGGCCAGTAATGCTTCCCAGCTTCCTGGCACCCCCTGGCAGGCGGGCACTGGCACAAAGAAGTGCCTCTGCTCTCTGCCCGCGCTCTGGGAGAGGTGCCACCTCGAGCAACCAGGAGGGGAAGACGCTGGGAGGAAAGGCAACGCTCCTATAATGCATCCTAATGCATCAAGGTTGAGCAGCTCCACACAGACAGCCTTTGTCACCGTGTGCTTGGGCCCCGGTACATCTGTGAGAGATCCTGGCAGTCCCCGCAGCTGATTCTATGGGAGGCTTTGGCAGGGTTTAAAGATGGAAGAAAGTTTTGCAGTGTAACTTCAGGCAGCCGGCCCCTTCCGGAGGAGCACAGAGCTTCCAGCTATAGAAGAGCCAGGCTCATCACGGGCTGAGATCCGGCTCAGATGTTGTCTCCCTGCATCGCTGCCTGTGTGAAGGGCTTGGCTGTTTGAAATCCTGTGCTCTTCAACACTGCTCTGCGTGGAAGGGAAGCAGCTTGGAAGATGTGGGGCAAGAAAGGAGGCAGTTCCCAGGGAAACTGCAACCAGAAATGGAGTAATGCCTCCTCTTGCAGCTGCCAAAGGGGGTGTGCAGGGCCCAGCAGCCTGGGTCAGCTCTCTGCAGCCACAAGTGCTGGGACGTGACCTGCTCGTGGCAGCCACACTTGGCTTGAAAGGGCTTCTGTAGTTCTGAGCAGGTTCAGCTCTGCCCAGCTTCGTTAGGCACCTACAGATCCCATTCTGGAGACGTTTTGCTGTACAATGTATTTTAGAGCCGCCGTCTCCTTCCTCCTCCGGAAGATGAAGGATCCAATTTTTCCCATGTCCCCAAATGGGGACATCTGACATAACGTTTGAAGGCTTGCTTTCATTAGAGCATAATTTCAGAACAGCCAAGGAAACAGACTGGCTCTCAGCACCTCAAGCTTCAAAATCAGCAGCAGCTGCGATGTTATCCGGAGTTGCGCTTCTGTGTGCTGGGAAAAGGAGCTGGTGGAATCGGTGCCGTGGCAGCAACGGTTCTGGAGGTCGGTGCTCTGGGCTCCAGGAGGATCCCCAGTCCTCTCACTGCCTCTTCTCTCACACCTCTCCTTCCAGAGTGGGTGAGAGCTGGAGGCCTGGAGCTGCACTGCGCTGTGCTGCTGCCGCTGCGCTCCGCTTCCGCCCCGTCTGTCGTCGAGCCCTGGGCTATTTTCAGCACTGCCCCACATAACAAAGCCAGTTTATTTTTCTGCTGTGGGTCTCCTGCTGTGCTTTTTTTTCCCCCCCCTTCCCCTCCTTCATTCTGTGGGAGAACATGTTGTTTCCTTAATTTTTAACTCAAGCCGAGCCCAAAGAAAATCATCGTTTGTAAGTTAATATTTAAAAATAACAGAAGGAGCTTCCAGAAGTGAGGAAAGTTGGTTTTTCTGGTGGGCTCCGGGGCTCTGTGCGGTGCCTCAGGAGCAGACAAAGGCAGCCCAGGGGGCGGTGGGTGGTGTTGGAGCTCTGCGGGACGCTGACAAGCGGGCACTGTGGTCTGGTTTTGGAACTCGAGGTCTCAATTCACATTCTACCCAGTGAGATGGAGCTAAAAATACGCCCGGTTTTCTTGGCTTTTTCTTTTTAAGAAAAAAAACCCCCAATGATTTAAAGACTACTGATGGCTTTCTGCTACGAGCTACAACCCAAGGATGGGAGGGAGAAGAAGCCTCTTGGCAGCAGCCCTTTGGTGTGGGCTGTGAGTGCTGGGTATTCTGGGGATGGGATTGAGCGTTCTGGGCACCGGCTCAGCTCTCCCATCCAGCAACGTCAGGCGGTTCAGTTCGAGTGGGAAGATAAAAATAAAAATGCGACTGTGATTGAAATTGTGCACTGCAGTAACTTTTTGCCACACAGCATCTCATACGTGCATATTTTCTCTTCCGCGCTGACTTTCTTTTAATGGTTGCCATGTGTGACTGCTACTTCACACTGCCTTTTTTTTTAACATAAAAAAGGGGGGGAGGAAAAAAAAAAAAAGGAGGAAAAATAACCTGCTTTCTGTCTTCCCTTCGTCTTTTTTTTTTCTTTCCTGTCTTATGTGGTTTTCAATTTGTGGAGGGCACGTCTGAAAAAGAAAATGGGACGGTGGGAAGGGAAAGCGGCCCCCAAATGCAGTGCTGGTGGCTTCCTGCTCAAGTGCCCTTTGTCACTAGCATTGATTAATTTCTAACTGATGTGTGCACCGTTCTGGACCTTTCTTTAATTAACTGCATTTTTTTTTTTCTTCTTTTTCCCTCTCTTATGCCAGCATTTCACGCCTATGGAAAAGCAGGGAAAATGTTGGTGGAAACAAGGTAATCTATTGCTTTAAAGCTGGAATAGTTTGTCTCTCTTTAATGAAGACAATGCTCTGTGGCATTGCTGTGCTCATTTATTACTCCCCTGCCCTCCCCGGTCCCAAAAGCTTTCCCTGCCACCTACAGAACTTGAGCAAGAAAGAGGAGCGAGATGCCCGTGTGCTTCATCTTCTATGCAGGCAGGAGCTGTGGGGCATGGGATGCAGCAGCTGGAGAGCAAACCCATCTCCTGCTCTGCTGTGAACTCACGGGCATGTTGCTGGTGGCTGGTTTCCAGGGGTGGGATCCCTGCCAGGGTTGCTGGGAGTTCACAGGAGAGCAGCCCATGCCATGGATGTGCCCTGGAGCTGCCCTGTGCCTCCTGCTCCCGGCTGCTGGGGGCGCCTGGTGGCACAGCTCTGTCCCTGGGGCAGCACGAGAGCTCTCCAGCCTGGTAGCTGCTGGGCTCCTGCGCCTCGTGTGACCCCAACCCCAGCAGCAAATCCCTGGCAGGTCGCGTTCAGAAGCCCTGATGGGCAGTGGGATGGTGTCACCGTGCTGTTTTTCCTAGAGGAGGTTCTCTGTTGGAGGCATCTTGAGCTCTGGCCGGGCAGTGATGCCGGCTCATTTTCTGTTCCCATCTGCAGATTGCTACAGAACGCTAAAAATACACCAAATATTTCTCCAAAGTGACTTGTCCATGCAAGCAGTCGCTGTAGTTGCCACAGGGATGCTATAATTGGAAACGGGAGGGAAAGTGGTCCGTGAATGGGAGGAGAAGCAGTTTGTGCTACAATCTTTTCATTAAAGTGTGGTCCGTTTTGTGGAAGGAAGTTTGAGAGCTGAGCTATTACCAAGGCTTTCATGGTAGGGCCCTGCTGCAGGGGGTGCGCCTGGGAGGACCTCTTGCTGATTCTGTTAAATGTTTTTCCAAGAAATAAAGGAGTTCTTGCCATCCCTAAGGTCTGTTTCTTCTGTGGCTCCAAACAGCAGTTAAACTGATGCACGTGTTAGCAGAGCCACGTCTCTGGCTGAGATGCTGCTTGTGGGGGAGAGGTGGATAGAGTTTCCTCAAGTTTAGGTTGCTGGGGCTGAATGCAGAGCTGCTGGCCTTAGCCGAGCTGCTAAGAGCCGTGTTAAGAGCTCTGGCTCCAGCAGGGCTCGTTCTGATGCACAGCCCCACTGTATCCCTGTAGATGGAGGACTGGCTTCATTTCTTGCCAAACATCTCCAGTGTGAGATTGGTAAAATCTGGGCCTCATCTCCTTTGTGTCGTGCTGGAAAGTTGTCTGCAGTTAGGGGTGGATGTACGCTGAAGCAAGGCGTGCTGAGCCTGCTTCACCTCTGCAGATGAGCGAGCAACTGCCTGCGTGGATTTTCTCTTAAGTCCCTTTAAATGCACTCTTTGTATCCTCTGGAAGCCTCTTGGTCAACGGGAGAGTGCAGGAGGATTGTGAGCAATCTGCAGCTGTTGTGGCTGGGCGCAGCGTCTGTGCTAAACCTGTGCTGCGGCTGCCTTCCAGGCTTCCTGCTTCAGCCTCCTAATCTCTCCGTACTTTGTTGTTTTGCAGCATGATTGGGCTGATGCTGGGAACTTGCATTGCTTTCTATGTTGTCATTGGTGACTTGGGGTCCAACTTCTTTGCCCAGCTGCTTGGATTTCAGGTAAATCAATCCTCGCTGCATTGCAGCTGCTGTGCAGGCAGTGCTCCCAGTTCCCTTAAATGGAGCAGCGTGTGCTCAGGGGGCCACGAGCTGCTGTGGGGGCACCTGCAGGGAAGCTTTAGTGGCTCAGAAGTAGAGGAAACAATCAGATGTGCAAAACCTCCCTTAAGGCACTGCCAGCAAAACACCCCTTTAATACTGGTCGCTATTAATTCTGGAGCAGATTAACGAAGGAGATCCGATGTTTCTGCCCTAATGCCTCCCCCTGCCAGGTGGTGACAGACAGTTCCTCTGTCTGAGCCGGTACCCCTCGCACCCCTGTGCTCCTGGCGGGGCTGTTATCTGCTCCTCCTGATGCTGCTAAGCTCTGATTAAGGGACTGTGAAGTTAAAAAGATGCGTTGTGGCTGCAGCCAAATTAGGTATTAAATATTTCCAAGCATTCCAGAGTGTTCTGCTATAATAAATACCAATGTGAGTTTTTTGATTAATTTTCTGGATCAGAATTTTCAAGACTTCAATCTCCCATTCCCCAAGTAAGTTCAGTTTTTATTTAATTGCATGGAAAATACTCAAATCTCTTGTGCTGGATTAGTGTTTCAAGCCCCCTCCCCTCTCTGCCCCCAGCCCAATACTTCCACTTCAGGGTGGACCGGTCACGTACTGTGCAGAGCAACAGTGGCACCCAGTGACTGTCTGAGCTAATCACAGACCCAGCTCTAGAAATGGCAAGCTTTCAGCACTGAGTCTTTAAATACCTATAGAATTGCATCAGGGAGTTGCTTTACTGATGTGGTGAGGCGTTCTGAACGTGCTCTGTGTGCTGCTCCCTCTCCAGGTGTCTGGCAGCTTCCGCATCGTGCTGCTCTTCGCCGTCTCCTTGTGCATCGTGCTTCCCCTGAGCCTCCAGAGGAACATGATGGCCTCCATACAGTCATTCAGCGCCATGGCTCTCATCTTCTACACCGTTTTCATGTTCGTGGTGAGTACTGGTGATGGGAGGTTTCCCACTTGGCTCACACAGGTGCTCACTGTGCGCAGGGCTCGAGCGCAACGTGTCCTTCCTGGTACATAGCACTGATAGGGCCTGGAAGGGGGCTGAGCTGCTGCCCGTGTGCTGGGCTTGTGGGGAAGGAGCACAGAGCAGGAGCTGATGGCAGATCTGCGTGCCGCTACAAAGCAACGGATTGCGGCGGCGAGCAGATTGAATTGTGGTTTATTCTGCTCACTGATGTCATATAATGTAGAGCTCCGACGTAGAAATCAGAGGATAGAAGATGTGGGGAGAAAGTGCCTGGAAACACGAGGGCTTTTATCACGCGTTGGTGCTTTGCCTTGAAACCTCAGTGTTTGTAATGTGCAGAGGGAAGAGAGCACAGGCTTTGCGTGCTTTCTTTGCAGCCAGTGGTGAATGTCTGTCAGGCAACAAGTGTGATTGCATTTCTGCTTCTTGTGCTCTGGAAACTTCATAAGCTCTCAGCTCTGACACATGGTGTGTATTTCTTCAGAGATTTTTCTAGAAGCATTTTCCTTTACTGAGATAAATGGATTATTGACCATTTAGATCAAGTAGGGTGAGCTGAGGGTTGTCCAAAGCTCGTTCTGTTTGGCTTGGCCAAGCTTCATCACATAGCACCATGTACTGAGAGGTGGAGACTGATGCTCAGGCTGCTTGATCACGGAGCCCCAGCCCTGTCTCCACCAAATTTCAGGCCTGGAAGAGCTGAAGCAAAAGAAAGAAAAGGGAGGAGTGGAAATTCCACGTATTTAACTTTTTTTTTTTTCTGTAGATTGGGCTGCGTTACAGTTCTGAGCTGTAATGAAGCTGGAAACTGTAAATGAGTGTTTCACAAAACTGGTGTGTTCCAGAAGCTGTGCCTTTAAGAAAACCACAACATTTCATGAGAGTTGGCTGCACTAAAAGTAATCTCTGGGGATTAGAAAACCCCTATTCAGGGGATATTATAAACAGGCATTCAGACGTATTTACCTTCTGTTTCCTGTGCAACCCAATGTCTGCCAGCTTCCTCGTCAGTGGCAAAAGAGCCCCTGTGCCTGAGCTGG